ATATATTTTTAACAAATTCACAGCAATTTACCTCGTAAACAAAAATATTTTTCAGTCAGCAAAGGAAGTTTTTTTCCCATCAAAAGTGTGAGTTAATATCTAAACTTTTTTTAAAAGTTTTTTTAATAGTTTCTATCAGCTTTTCCAGCATGTTTCTTTAACACAGTGCTGGGAACATCTTCAGGCTACTGGCAGATTAAAAAATAGTCTCCTCTAATCAAATAAAAATAAGAAATTAAAGCATGTCAAAGTTCATCCAGTCAGACTCAAAGAGAACAATCAGATRTCAATGCAACACACTTTATTTAACATGCTGACAGTGGTATCATTACTTCCTTACATTTGCCATCACAGCAGAACATCAGAACATCTGAACTGGTACATTAAAACAATAAGCAGGGCCTATGCTAATCCAGGCGTGTGGGCTGGGGGCGGAGCTTCCTGATTGAAGAGGCGGGACTACAGAGTGCAGTTTGCTTCTGGAGAGAGTCGACACTTAGCCACCGTGAGGTAAGTCTCCACCTGAAAACAGTCAGCGGTTTACAAAGAATCACCATTGCCACGTCATGATGATGTCATCATAGCATCACGATGATGTCACATTGATGTCGCATTTCTCTGCTTTCTCACCTTGTGCATGTCTTTCTTGAAGCAAGCCAGCAGTTCATAGGATCTCCTCAGTGACTCTTCAGGTCCACGACCCTGATAATAGTTTCCATACGGCGCCAGATGGTGGGCCGAGATGTCCGTAAAGATCTCCACCGGATCCTGATTGGCCTGTAAAACCAAGTAACCGGTTACCCAGGTGAGATGGCCGCTCAGAGGAAGGCGTGGACCATGTGGTGGGTGCATGTTCTCACCCTGATCAGCAGCAGGATRCCAGTTTTCAGTTCAGACAGTTTGAGTGAGATCTGGTTCCTCGGTGAAGAACCTCCGTACAGAGAAAGACTCGGTAACTCCCAGGATTCCACCAGGCGGTAAGAAATGGACAAAAGCTTCAGAACCTGGACCCAAAGATGAGAGGAAGATACTGAACCAGAACCTTAGACTTTAGTTCTGCCTAGTACAGAGTAGTACAGAGTAGTACTGTGCAGTACAGTGTAGTACAGTGTAATACAGAGTAGTTTACTGACTGAGCTGCGCTGCGTCTCGTGCTTGTCGATGGGGCTGTCGATGTTGTCAGAGTTGCAGACATCCAGCAGGAAGATTTTGTTGAACTGACGTTGTTCTTCTGTCTGCAGGGAGTTCTCCTAAAACACAGAAACGCACACAAGTATTCTTGAGTACACAGTAAAACACACAGTTATTGTGGCAAAGGTTCACCCCTGACGTCCTCGAGTATTTCCAGAACTCACAAAGTCAGAGAAGAGTCTCTGGGCGAGCAGGTGGAGGTGCTGGATTCTGCTGACGGCGATGGTGAACAGACGCTGGCTGTCTGAGATTTGCTGAGAAGAAACGGTCGCACACACGACCAAGAGCAGGAGCACGGCTGACAGGGGAGACAGGTGAGACAGGTGAGACAGGTGAGCTCATATCTGCACTTCACGTCTGTGACGGGACCAAAGTCCCTGACCTGCAGGTCTTACCTCTGTCCATGGCTGGTCTGGGATCAGTTCAGGTTCTGCCTCAGGTGAGTCTGCTCCSTGGTCTGATGTTCCAGCTCAGACGTTTGGGGTTTTATAGGTGAGAATTTGATTTTTAAATTCATTAGAAGAAACATGAAACGAACAAAACAGGTGAGTCCGTGTTTGATTAACATTAATTCCTTAAAACGATATTTATGCAGCATTAAAAAACAGACAGCTGGAAACTGTGAGTGTGAAGTCATGTAGGACAGGGTTCTGACCCGCTGAAGGCTGAACTCTTCCCTGGAACAAGACTTCATGATGACGTTACTTCAAACCAAGAACTTACAGACCTGAACAGGTTAGTCTGGACTCGTTTTTACAGAGACGAACCTACGAAGGTCACGGAAATAACACGAACCCAACAAAAGTAACGAGAACAAGAAAAGACTAAAAACAACTAAGAAAAATCAATAATTACTTTTAATTATCATTAAACAGGTCCGGGACTGTCTCAGAGACCTCTACACCTGTCCACAGGTCCAGGACTGTCTCTGAGACCTCTACACCTGTCCGCAGGTCCGGGACTGTCTCTGAGACCTCTACACCTGTCCGCAGGTCCGGGACTGTCTCTGAGACCTCTACACCTGTCCG